GTCGGTTCCTGAAGATCATCTCATTGCGAGCTTTCCAGATATTCCAAAGGGTAAAGACCTTCCAACGGGAAGGCTTCCCCTACCTCCCAAAACCAGAAGTTTACTTTTGCCGAGGGTGGTGGAAGTGGCAGAGAGGGGGGGAACCGTGTCCAAGTTTCCTTGGCATGAGGACACTCGAACAAGACATGAAAAATGGTTTCCTCTTCAGAGTTTCACAACGGGCAAGCCTTGGAACCTGCGCAGTGCCGATCGAAAAGATTCCTCTTGGTAGCCAAGGCTCCTCTCGCTGCTTTCCAAATGAAAAAGGTGACCTTCGGAGGGAGGTTCAAGCTCCAGAGCCATTTCCATCTGTCCTTCTCCTCTTGTGAAATACCTGGACTTCCGGAGGTTCCCCACCTGATTCTATCATGGCAAGCATGAAAAGCAGATCCAACAGTAAACTCCCCATTGTTCGTGAATCTCCAGGCCCAGAAATCTTCCATCCCCTGGGAACCAATCGGAATTCTAGAAATGGCCAGCTGAACCTCTGCCGATAGAAAATCTTCCATCCCTGATAGATGCCAGGATCGGTTGTCCTGATTGATCAGCTCCTCAACTCTTCTTTCATCTTGGTTCAACGTCTGAATAGTGAAACCGGGGAAGGAGGTGATCCATGGGTCCTTAAAGATATTTGTACTGCGCCCATTCCCTATCACCTTCACTATCCCCAACATTAGCCACTTGCAAGCCTCATAAAGACTGCCCCAAATCCACGACGCTTGGCTACCTTTTCTTGCTTCCAAGAAGTCTCCTCTTGGGAAATACAACCCTTTCAGAACCTTAACCCATAGAGCATTTGGGGAAGTAATCACCCTTCAGGCTTGCTTAGTGAGGAGGGCAAGGTTGACAACTAAGAAAGGTCTAAAGCCCAGTCCTCCCTCCTCTTTGGGGGCATATAACACATTCCCCGCTCTCCAATGAATCGTTTTCTTAGTCGTTGAACCCGACCAAAAAAACCTGCGCAGCATTCCATCCATCTTATTCGTTGTGGCTTTTGGGAAGAGGAAAATAGTCATAAGGTAGGATGGGATTGCTTGGAAAACCGCTTTAAGAAGAACCTCTTTCCCTCCTGCCGAAAGTAAGATACTCTGCCAGCTTTCTCCTTTCTTTTCCATTCTCTCAATTAGGAATTGGAACATCTCCTTTTTTGACCTTCCCCATGAGGTCGGGATTCCAAGGTATTTGTCATGGAAAATCCTTCCTCAAAACCCAGGGTCTCCCTAATTGCAAGCCTTTCCTCCTCCAGCACGTTGGAACTGAAGAACACCGATGACTTGCTGGGATTAATCTCCTGCCCAGTGAACGCTCCATATTCTTTGACTACTTTCATAAGGTTGATAGCTTCCACCGAGGATGCCTCCCCAAAAAGGATAGTATCATCAGCAAAGAGGCAATGAGTGAGCCTTGGACAAAACTGATTCAGCTTAAGCCCTTTAATCTGCCTAGCTTCAATCAATTTTTCCACCAGAAAGGACAGTGCATTCGTCATGAGAATGAATAAGAGGGGGGAGAGAGGATCTCCCTGCCTGATGCCTCTAGAAGGGAAAAAACCCTCAGAAGGAGAGCCATTGAAGAGGACCTGGAATTTGACCGTTGTTATGCATTCTTCAATCCACTTGCACCAAGCCTCAGTAAAACCATAAGCCCTTAACAAGTTCAGAAGGCACTTCCACTCCACCAAATCGTACGCTTTCTTCATGTCAAGCTTGACCATCATATCTCTCTTTCGTCCAATCTTGTGTTTCTTAAAGTGATTCAGCACTTCATGGACGATAAAAATATTATCCTGGATCTGTCTACCGCCCGTGAAGGCTGACTACACTTCGGAGATCAGAACTGGCAGCCAAACCTGGAGCCTAGTTGCCAAAATTTTCGTAATCACTTTGTATATGAAATTGCAGCATCTAATGGGTCTAAACTGGCCCAACTATTCCGGAGCATCAACTTTTGGGATGATGGTGATGAAAGTATCATTCCATCCATCTGGAATTTTGGAGGTCCTGAAGAAGGAGCGGATCTCCTCACAAAATTTGTTTTCACAAATGTCCCAGAATCTTCTATAGAAATGGCTAGGGAAGCCATCCGGGCCAGGAGCCTTAGCAGCCCCCAAAGAAAAAACCGCTCTTTTAATCTCCTCATTGTTCAACTCCTTTCCTAAGTCGGAGTTCATTTCTTCTGTGACCAACTTGGGAAACCCTTCCATATCAAAACGGAGCACGTTGGTATCTCTAGCCTTGAACAAGTTTTGATAGTAGTCAGTTGCCATGTGTTTGAGAGTGGCTTGATCATCAATCCAGTCATCCAGACCATTTTTCAATTTATTGATCCTATTAGCTTTCTTCCTCTGCATGCACGCCGCGTGGAAGAAGGCCGAGTTTTGGTCTCCCCCTTGCAGCCAGTTAACTCTAGATACTTGTTGCCAAAACTCCTCCTCCTTTTCCCACATAATACAGAGTTCATTTCCAATTTGGCGTTCTTCATCGAGGTGAGAGCTAAAATCGTCCATCTCTTGTATCTGTATAAGTCTCCTTTTGATCTCCTCTTCTCTTCTGATTTTTTCCTTTCTGTCCTTCTTCGCCCATTTCTCTAACTGAGCCTTGCAATTCTGTAAACTACTCATCACATCTCCTTCCTTCTCCCAATAGTCCTTGACAATCTTAATGCACTCTTCCTCAAACCTCCATCTTTTATCAAAACGAAAGGGTATTTCTTTCTTCTCCTCCAACATGTCAAAATCCACTCTAATGGGGCAGTGGTCAGACTCCACAAACACTTCATGAAAGACCTTAGCTCTCTCGAACTTTAGTCCCCACGAAGGGGAGCAGAGGGCTCGGTCAAGTCTCTCTCTTTGCATATTCTTCCAAGTGAAAATTGGGCCATTAAATCCCAAATAAATTAGACCATTCTGCTCCACAAAGTACTTAAATGGGGCTCGATTTTCATTTCTAATGGGGCATCTTCCCTGTTTCTCAAAATCAGACAGGACAACATTAAAATCTCCTACAAGGAGCCACTCCTCATCACCCCTATCCCTCAAGGTAGTGAGTTTGTCCCAAAATGATCTTCTCTCCACTGATGTAGTGGGAGCATGAAAAAAGTGCAGTAGCATACGTTGCTACCCCAACTAATACATACATCTATGTAGAATCTAGATTTATCAATCACCATGATCGATACATCCTCATTCCACCATAATGCTAATCCACTACCACCTTGACTAGGGCTAAAGTACTCCAATTTTGAAAACTTCAATCTTCTCCTCTTCTCCTCCATGAAGCAGTCTTCTTGTTTTGTTTCCATCAGGAAGAAGATTGATGGCCGAAATCTGCGATAGAGATTCTTGTAGAAGCTTCTTGTAGAAGACTGGCCAAATCCTCTATAGTTCCAACTTAGTAGCCTCATGCTGCTGGAGATGGCTCTAGGCTTGCCACCGCTGTCCACGAGATCGAGTCATGTCCCTCCTCGGATTGCTTCTCTGCTGTTGTATTGCTGCAATACTCCTCCTCCGATAAACTTGTCTCCTTCTTCCCTTCCCCTGCTCTTCCTGACCTGTGCTAAACTCAAGACAATCAATACTAAAGTTAGAGAGGTTAGAGATCGTTGGTGAGATTGCTTCTCCACTTTGCCCTTGGTCAGCCTTCCTTTTCTTCGGAGGGCTGGCCTGGTTCACCGACGGGGGCTCCCCACTTATGAGCTGAACTGAATACTGGGCCTCTTGGATAATTATCCCGATGGCTCCCCTTGTTGGTGAAGTTGGTGGGCTGGGCTTCTTCTTTTCCCTTTCCTCCTGGGTTTCTTTTCCTCTTTCGCTCCTGGGTCCAGCTAAGCTTAGCTGTTGGCCCATCTCCAACAGCCCCTGCTTGTCCTCGATTGTCCTGTGGGCTTCTTCTCTGTCGCGCCAGCTGGGTTCTCCTTCATTGAGAACCAGTGAAGACTGAATGGCTTCTGTTGTAGCCTCCAGATCTATCTTCAGTCATCGGGGTGTACTGTCTGGCTCCTTCCCTGTCTCTCCGTACCTTTGTCTGCCTTCTTGTTCCCTAAAGTTGCTTGACGACGCCCCCCTTTGCAGGTAACCGAACCCAGGTGGGTAGGATATTTCCATCCTGATGTCAGCGGGGGACAGTGTCAGTTGGGCTGACTTTTCCCTCCTTCCTCGTAAAATGAGCTCCCTCTCCCATCTCAGCCCTTCTTCCACCTGAGTAGCAAGACGGCGGCGGAATGATGCCGGGGGGTATTTGCCGGGGAATCATGCCCTGCTTTCAGTGCCGCCGTGTAGACCTCCGATGCCTCAATGCTCAGTCCCTTCCTTCTGCTCTATTCTCTGATCAAACAGTTCTGCATCACATGTCCCAATCGCCCACAAATATAACACAAATCCATAACTCTCTCGTACTTAAAACCGATCCAAACTGATCTCTCACCGCATGGGTATTCAAATCGATGGGGATAGGATCGTCAATATTGACTTCCACTTGGATTCTGATGAATTTCCTCCATCCATGGTGTTCGATGTTGGACCTCTCAATCCCATGGAATACTGGGAATATGTATTCCGCCACCGCCTTAATGGTTTCTTCAAACTTCAGGGATTGAGGGAGGTCATGCATCTTGACCCACATGGTGACTGTAGAGAAGTCCACCTCCTTCGCGCTTCCTTCGCCATCCCACTTTTTGAAAGCCACCAGCGAGTTTCCAAAGTTCCATGGTATTCCTTTCCAAACTGCATCTCTCTTCGCCGCATTCTCGAAAGTGTGCACAAACAGGTTCTCATCTTCCTTCGATGTCTCCACTTCTCCGAATAGTCGCCATTTGCTTGCCGCCGAGTTTCTGGCTTTGAAGAGGCCAATTTTTGAATCCGTGATCCACTTTCTGAGCAGCATTGCCATTCCTGACCCCCTTGACCCAACGACCTGAGGCTGGAGATTGATGATGAGGTGGTTATGCACTCCCCTCACTCCTTCCTAGTTCATCTCCATTGCTTCTACCTCTGAATCTCTCAGTGATTCGAGGGGCTTTTCTTCTCTTTTATCTAGATCTCTCTTATCTTTTCTGAGTTTGGCTATTGGTTTAGATCTGGGTAGAAAGGTGTCCAGAGATGAGACTCCCACTCCCCTTAAATACTCCCCTTTCGTTGCCTTCTCTCCGACTGGGGTCAGTAAATGCTTTGTAACCACCCCTCTTACAACCGTGATGGAGACCTTTAATCCCTTTTGTCTCCCTAGCTTCTCTCTATTTCCTCTGGGATATAGTCGCCGTCTGGCACTTCCATCCACAGTACCGAGTTTTCCCTTCTCTGCTCTCCCTCCATTGAATGCTGCCTGCACAGGGCCTCCACTATCTTTCCCCCTTCTGAGTTTGTAATGATTCATCAAGTTCCTTCCACTCTCGCTAGTGTCTGCTCCTTTGTCTCTCTTGCTAGCCTGTCTTTCACTCCCCATCTCGTCTGCTCTTTGCTGTAAATGGCCACTCGAGCTATGCGCCCCATTAATGCTCAGATTGCCTTCTCCTGCAGCTTGATATTCTCTCTTTCCTATGTCGCCACTAGAATTAGATATAGAGATCAGAGATTTTGTAGTCAACTCTCCTTTCTTTCTTCTCTTCTTCTTTCTGGGCGGAGATTTCCATGGCCATGATTGTCGTCTCTTTCCCCCAATCCATTTGCTTGCTTGTCCTGCACCCCTACTCCTTGCCTGCGCAGACCTGAACCCTTCTCTATCTCTATCTCCTCTAGTCCGGACACGAGATTGATTGATATGGTTGTCGGCCATGTCGGCCATGTTTGTGAAGGCTCCATTTCTGGAAGCAGTGAAGGTTTTTGGTTGATCTATATTGAAAGGGAAATTTGTAACTGCCATTTTTTCTCAATGAAAGTTGTAGGAACTTTGAAAGCGGAAAGAGAGAGAGGTGCCAATATGGAGCCTTAGCTGCGTCTGGCGCTCACTCACACGACGACTACGGCGGCGGCGGCAACCGATGGCAGTCAATTTAGTACCAGAACGACACTCCCACTCCTTTCAGTCTAGTTTTTCCATCAACAACTATTGGTGGGAACATTTGATTCATCAATTCCCTTGCTCCATTAAGACTTCAATGAAGTCTAGATTCATTTATGGTGCGAGGCGCACAAGAGATTGGTGGAAGGTACGAACTTTAATGAAATGTAGGCCACTCAGGTCTTATGATGGTGGCGGTGGAAGTGGATTCAATGATGGGGAAAGGAAATAAGGAAAGCCAAGAAAATTAAAGAAGGGAGATGGGTTGTGGATTCCTGGGTTTGGTAGGTCAAAATTGGCACTCATTAGTGGAATTTCTCAAGTCGAGCAAGTCTTCTATTATGTGAAATTAGCATCTAAGGATTAGTAGAATTCGATGAGTAGTGTCTGTTACATACACATTCATGTCATAATGCAAGTTGAAACCAACAACACAAGTTAACTGGAGAAAACACTTACTAGGGAACTTATTCTATTTGCCAACATGTTGTTGTTGCATCACGAATATTTATCCATTGATATCCTTCCTCTCTATTTATTTCATTATTTGTTTCATGTGGTCTGCATTTAATGTTGGTAAAGATTCAACTTTTGTGCGCTCTTTTTTTGTGTTTGGACATTGAAATCATGTTTGTTGTTAGTCCTTACTATTCAACTCCAATCAAAACTGCTTTCCTACTTTTACTTCCTTTTGCATTTTTAGTGGTTTCAATGTTATTAGTCACGGTAATTGCCTCCCTTGCCAATCATGTGATGCCACTATTTCATAGATGAAGACCTGCTAGCGCCTATATGGGATCAGTTCATTGCAGAGAAGTCCTCTAATGCCCTTTCTTATATATTTGTCAAAGCCAAAGTATTATTTTCATCATGTGTATAGTAAGCCATTGTTCTTGGAATGCAGTTGTTCCACAGATTGCTTTCATACGAATCTCATATGCTTTAGTTTATCATGAGAACTCAAGTTAATTGAAACACGTAATCTAGATGTGTTAATGGTATTGGGCTTCCTTCACCTCACGGGTTGCATTCTTTGTATAGAAATCAAAGCAATACTAAGTAGAACATGGCGCCGCGAAGCACGCGCAGCTTACTAGTATTCCTATAAGGCGTGCTTATATATCAAATCCTGATTGCCAAAGAATTAGGAGAGGAGCAGAGGTGCATCTACAGAAGAAGAAGATTCCTTACTTCTACATTGGTTTACAGTTTAAAGTTTGGTTCTTTTCTTAAGTTTGAGTTTTAGTTCCATAGTGTTATTCTGAGCATTGGAGGGTTTGTCATTAATTAACATTTATTTGTCTTCAAAATGGCCAATGGATGACACCATGTGTCAAACTTCTATGTTATTCTATTGAGTTATTGTTAAATGAATGGTAATTAGAGTATAGTTTTTACATTGTTAGTGTTCTTTGACTATATTTATTTTATTTTTTATTATTTTTGAAGTATGAGATCCGCGCACTAAGTGAAATCCGTTGAATAGCATGGACTTCTTTTCTAGTAGTAAATAATAGGAAAAGTCATGTTCTAAGTAGAATCCTGAAAACTGTCTGGGGGATTATTGGTAACTCTGAGTGATTGCAGTCGGTTGACTATTCAATGTTCGTTGCAGCGTCGACGTTGTCTTCGCATGAGGCTATTCTTGTACCACTTCTCATACAACTTTGGGAACATTCTGAGAATTGGAGAATTGATTCGTGGCCAATACCGAACTTTGAAACTTGGCCAAAGGGACTGCCTGTAGGGATGCTTCCGACGAGATTATTGTTTGAAAAGTTTAGGACCGAAAGGAATGTCAGGCCAGAGAGTTCCATGTGGGATCTGGCAACTGAGGTTGTTGTTAGAGAGATCCAGTGACCCTAGCTGTGACAGGTTGCCCAATACTGAAGGTATCTTTCCAGTGAAAGCATTGTGGGAGAAATTAAGGAAGTAGAGGCCATTGACTTGTCTATGATTTCGGGTATCGACCCATTTAGATTGTTGATTGAGAAATCAATAGATGTGTAAACTGTTAGGATCTTCACCAGCTCCATTTGAAGGCCCTTGCTAGTAACGGTTATGGAGTCTTGGTAATACACTTGAGTTACTCTGAAGTCCTCAAATTTGAGGTGATCGTTCTGCTCGTCTCCATATCCCATCATGGCCACCATGGTGGCTAAGTAGCTACCATTTATGGGACCAGAAAAGTTGTTGACAACCAAGTCAAAAATGTGAAGCTTTTGCCAAGTACCTGGAAGTTGTTGTGGGCAACCTATGCTCCCATGGAAGAGGTTTTTCCCTCACGACAAGGACGCGCAAACTGCAGATGCCGCCCAAGAGATAGGGGAAGCGGTCCAAGAATATGTTGTTCGCCAAGTTTATAACTTGTAATGTAGTGCAGTTCTGTAGAGACTTCAGAATCCTTCCTTGCAACTAGTTCCCACTAAGATCAAGAGTTTCTAGTGACAAGGAAGGCTGAAATGTGTCAGGTATGGTGCCAACGAGCTTATTGCTCCTCAGATTCAAAACATCAAACACCCGGTTATCCATTAAACAACTTGGGATCATGTCGTTCAGTTCATTGTTCGACAGATCAATGACACTTACAAATTGAGCATTGCAAATACTGGGAGGGATAGATCCTCTGAGTTGATTGTTGGATAGCGAGAAGGAAAATATAGAGGTAATGTAATTGCCAATTGCAGTTGAAATTGTAGCATTGAAAAGATTGTGGGCGAAGTCGATGTAGAAGATCGAAGCGGGTAATAGAATGACTGTCCCAAGCCCGGCTACACTAAGACCAACCATACCAGGAAGACTGGTGGGAAGGGGAAGGAAATTAGGAATGTCCCCTTGGAGTTGGTTCTCATGCATATCAAAGAGTCGAAGGCTAGGAAGAGTCGGTTGTACCTCAAAACCAACAAGGATGTTGTGTGAGCGATTGAGGTGCAGTAGTGTAATTGATTCAGGAATCCACCAATGTACCACTCCATTGATACTATTTTGTGAAAGGTCTAGCTTGGTTAGCCTTGATTGGTTGTCCAAATCATGAAACTTTCTCAAATTGCTCGACCCTAGGCCCAATTCATTGAAACTAACAGTGATGTTGCCACTTCCATCCAATGTTAAGTTGTTGTAGATGCAGAATGGAGAGACTTTGGAGGGTCTCAAACCATTTTAACTGTACACTTCTATTGAACCTATTTGATGATAGTTAGAGGGCTTTCAGAGTTTGGAGTTCAAATATGGAACAAGGGATGGGACCTTCCAAATTGTTGTTTCTCAAATATATATGCTTGAGAACCGAAAAAACAGCATCTAGAAACTATGGGGCAAGACCTCCTCCAAGTTTATTGAATGAGAGATTAATCTGCAGCAAAGACAATATGGAGAAAAGTGTTGTTGATATTCTTCCGTTCAAAGAATTGTGACTGAGGTCCACATGCTCAAGTCTCTGAAAGCCTTCCCATTGAGTCGGTAAATCACCCGTCAGCTGGTTGTAAGCTAAGTCTAAATATACTAGATTCATGGGAAGCCCTGATAATGAAATTGGACATGTCAAACTGTTATTAGAGAAGTTCAAATAATTTAGTTGAGTTAGATTCTCCAGTGACCTTGGAACTGCTCCACTGAAATTGCATCTAGAAAGCTCCAATCTTGATAACTTCCCAAGATTGCCCAAGGATTGAGGAAGCACTCCTAAGAAGCCTGTTTCCTTTAGTATTAGAAGAGTACTGGTTATGAGGAGGAAAGTTTGGAAATTCGCCTTGAAGCAATTCGTTATATGACAGGTCGAGATGCTCCAGGATCGGGATTTGGAGTATCGTTGCTGGAAATGTTCTTATCAGCTCGCAAAAGCTCAGATTCAGAACAATCAGGTTTCTGAAATCTGAAAAGAAATCGGGATGTGGAGAAAAAAATAAGTTGTTTTTGTCCAGACGAACTACCGAGAGAGACTTAAGGTAGGAGAGCTCGGCATGCATAGGGCCTGAAAGGAGGCAGCTGGACATGCTCAATACTCTTAGATTTGGCAACGAGAAAACCAAGGCCTGACACCATTCATTCCCTTGGGTATGTATGTTTACATCGTCGAGATGGAGATCTATTAGCTGTGTGAGATTCTGAACAAGTGCAGTAGGATTTGGATCCTCAAGTCTCAGGGACGGATGGTCCATGAAAGGAGGCATTGATAGATCAAGGCCGACCAAGCTCCTAAAACCCACACAACAGACAACTCTGCGAGACCTCCCTACTTTCTTTCTTTTTCTTCACACTCACAGACCCACTATACACACAACACAAACCAAAGAGCTACATACTCTTCCAAAAACAAGAAGAACATAGAGAGAAACAAAAACTCTACAAATTCCCTAATCTTAACCCCTACAACACAACAACAAAACACGGCCAAACATAGAAAAGACTCCATATCGCATCCTATTATTCTTACCAAGCATCAACACACACAAAAAGAGAGACAGTAGCAAGCAAATAGCAGAAAGGCAACGCCAACACTGAGAACAACAAAGAGCTTGGAGGTAGAACCATCCTAAATCTTCAAATATTGAAGGTTGGTCATTATCCGATTCAACCACCACTGTCATTCATCATCATTCTCATTTTCACTTGTACTTCTACTTTTCTTTAAACAAGTGATTCTAAAAGATAGAAACCAATTCATCCCCAAGCATGTCTCTTTCGTATTCTGGCCAAGAAAAAAACAGATTGCCATTCATTTTCTTGCTTTAGTGTTAGAACTTCTATTATATTTGCTATTTGTGGTTTATTTACAAACATATCATACATGAGAATAAACATCTGTGTTAACTTTGTCTTTGCTTTAATTTATGTTAAAGTACCACAATCAAACTAAAATCCACTCTCTAGGCTACCAAAATATAGTCAACATGTAAAAATTAAACAAGCTATCATATCCAAATTTAGGCCAAAAGGCTCGACAAAAATTAAACTTTGAGAGGGAATTTAGAATACCTCTTTCGTTTTAAAGGAGCCCCTTTTAATCTAAACCCACTTTACCAAAACCATAAACACCCATAGAAAGCATAATCTCAAACCAAGACAAACAACTACCATGTTTCCCCAAATTATAGTCCAAAACCAAACCCAAACCCAAACCATACACCTCCACCATAAGCACCACACAGTTTCCAGTTTCAAAAACATCACAGATTTACAACACCGGATAGTAAACCCAAAACAAACCACAATCACAAGACGTTTCAAATTCAAACTCCCATAAATACCAATCGAAATCTTACCATAAATCTTTTCCCTAGCCCACATCACCGTCGCCGCCGGCGAAACCCGGGACTGCCGGTGATGGCACTGTTCTCCCCTTTTCATCCACCAACCAAAGCCCAGAAAAACAAGAAACGAGGATCAACATCACCAAAATCCTGAACTGAAATAAAGAAAAGGGTCTAAGCTAACCTGAACCAAGACCTCCATCATCGTCGGCGAAGTTTGTTCGTCCCTTTTCTGCCTTTGATCGGATCTAAAAACTCGGAAGTTTGTTCGTACCCTAACCCGGCTGGGTACTACTTTTACTAAAATGCCATTGACAAGTAAATTACTCAAATCTTAAATTGCAGCGGGAAATTTTTTTTCATAAATAAAATAATGAAAACACACTTGAAGTTCAAGGCAAAGCCCTAACACGTGGGCAAATTAAACTCAAACTTTAAAATCTCAATCTGATCTCAAAATAATCTCCAGTCTGTACTCATAATCGTAAATGTAATTAACTAATAAACTCTGAAACTGTTGCTACTGAAAACCTTGACTAAGCATCCTCCGTGATGCTTATACTGCTCTCCTCTAGCTGGCTGCCCTTAAACCCGCTGCTCACTAACTGCTCCTCTAGCTCCTTAAACTGGTGAGTTAGATGGGGTCAGTCTACGCCCTTACGTTTTAATACTTCTAATACTTGAGTACTTTACTTAAACACTTAACTTTGACTAGTGGAGGTTGTTTGTACTTCCAATCTTAAAAATCTTAACTCTTAAAACTGTATGGGAGTAACTGTTACTCTCCACTCTTAAAGCTTAAATCTCCACTTAAATACTTGACTGACACTGGGATCCCCCACAAGCTAGTCTGGTTGCCAACTCATACGTATAAGAAGCCATCAAGGCTTTCCTTAAACTTAAACTTAGTTAGGGAAGTCGTAACGATTCATCCCCCTAACATCTTAAACTTATCGTGGGGGCTCTTCACCACGATTCTCAAGGGCATAACTGTTGCCCATCTTAAAAGTCTCAAGAGCATAACTGCTGCTCTATCTCAAAAGGTCTCAAAAGACAACGGACTGGCGCTAGCGACTAAAAACACTTAAAATGACTTCACCTTCTTGAAGGTGAGTTACTTCTTTAAAAAGAACTTGACTCTTAACGTAACAATAACTTATAACATCACGCTTTAAAGTAAATGGCACAAAATCACCTCAAATCATAGCTCAGGCAAGGCACAAATAATCAATCACACACATTTTTCAAAGTCCCAGGTACCGAAATTGCAATTTTAACAGTCAACACAGTTGACCACGACCTCTCTGGAAACTTACACACTTAATCCTCTAACTTTTTGAATTTCCACGAATGGTACCTGTACTCGGCAGATTCTTGCTCAAACTTGGGAGGCTCGGTTCTCCCTCGTCCGACGTCGGAATTCAATTTCGTCGACACGGTGACAATCTTGGAATTGGCCTTTACGAGATGATACCGACCACTTGACGAGTGGTCAAAGTCGGCTACGCCGGGGCTGTCGACGGAGCTCTAACACGTCGGTGATGCCGAACTAGCCAACGCGCCTCTCTTCCTCCCATCGCTTTCCACCGAAACCAATTCCATTTGAGAAGCTCTCTGAGCTCAATTTCACCTCACACTGCCAATCCGAAGGGGTCAACTTCCCTCAAAGATATGAAAAACAGGAATCCAAAGAACACAAATTGATGAAGAAGAGCGCCTATGCGAGGTTAACAAACCAAGCTTCTTCCTCCTGGTTCTTGATTATCATTACCTCCTCCCTGGCTATCCCAGATCATCTTCGACAGGTCAAAAGTTTTCTAGTCATGAGCTTTGCTAAAGCTCTTGTCCAAACCATTCTTCCATTGGCGTGCGATTCATATTCTGTTGGTTGTCCCTGTTTCTTCCATCTCTGAGCTGCCGCCTATAATATTCTAGCTCATTCAACAGCTACTCGTCCCTTTTCCTGATTTGTCAATTGGCAGCAGTTTTTGGTTTCTTGTCGAGAGATAGAGAACGTGGTGGGGGATTCGATGATGGGTGGCGCTGGGGAACTAAAGGTGGGTAGGGTTTGATTTGTGGACACGTTAATTTCTTTTTTTTTAAATAAAGTAATAATAATAATAATAGTTATTATTATTATACTTAATCCGCGGTTTAACTCTTGGTACATAATCGTCAACCCAACCGATCACGTATTAAGGTCGAACCTGAACCGTTCGAACCTCTCAAAGTTGGGGTTTTACATTTCCTCCACCCATATAAAAATTTCATCCCCGAAATTTGCTTGAATCTCATTCCTCCATCAACACCATTCTTGTACATCCTTGCCTCAAAAATTCACTCTCGCTATATGGACCTTGATGATGTCCGTTGCTTGTCCCGTATAGTTTACCTCACCTCAAGTTATTTCCTCTTTACCATAAAAGGTATTCTCAACCAGCTCATTAGCATCGAGTAGCTTTGAGTGGCTACTTGTCCCTTTTTAATTCCCCCATCTGGTGATGGAACCAAAATTATCGATTCACTTTGGTGGACCCGCTCATTCAGCACTCGTTGTTGGCCCTTAAAACGGAATCGAAGTATCACATTTCCTCCCCACTTATAGAA